GGCGCCGCGGCGGCCGCGCGGTAACACTACACTTCCCGTGAGACCCCGCGCGGCGGCGGGAAGCTCCACCCAGGCGGGCGCCATGACGGCGCGCTCACCTCAGCGCCTCGGAGTGGGAAGGAGGGGAAAAACATCCAAGAGATGTCCCGCGTCAGGGCCCCACGGTGAACATCCCCAAATAAATAGTAATTACCACCAATTTTACCTCAAAACACGACGCTGCCAGCTCGCTAAAGCTGCCTTTCTGTGTTTGACAGAGGCACTGCTGTGTTCTCTTGCAGAATGTGGAAAGCGGCTGATCTCGGATCCGTTCTCGGGCACGCGGATTGTGGGTGGCCACGAAGCATCGGTGGGAGCCTGGCCATGGCTCGTGAGCCTCCAGGTCCACCAAATTGGGCCGAACTTTAAGCATGTGTGTGGTGGAACTTTGGTTAATGAGAATTGGGTGCTTTCTGCCGCCCACTGTGCATTGCAGAGGAGGTAAGTGTGCGTCCAAAGCTTCTGTTTATCAAGTGCAAGATGGGCAAAAGCATCAACTTTAGAGGCACCTGGTTTGATTTAGATTGGCTGTATCTGGAGGAAAAAAAATAAACGAGAAAGAAAACAGTGAGATGGAATACAACTAATACAGCTAAGGCAGAAGCAAATTATTCAGCTCTTGTCCACCGAAACTTCCACGGGTGGTATCAGAAGACCCAAAACTCCTTTATTTTCTGCATCAACCATGCTGATTGACTTTATAAGTCTTGTACCTAGAACAATTCTGCTGTATTTGGGTCATTTACCAACCGTTGTCTTCACTGTAGCCTTTCCAGCAGTTGAAACATTTTCACATTACTTCATGCAAGCTGATACTGATTGCATTGCCCTTGTTGACATAACTGTGAGGGAAACCGAGCAGCCAAAATTCCTCTGAGCTTTGAAATGTTAACCATCTTAACCAATTTTTACTGTAATCATCTGTCAGGAGTTTCTTAGATTTGCTCTTTGTTTCTGTAGTGCCCTTTCTCAAACATTGATCTGTAGTCACAGTTTATTAGAAATAATCAACATAGTTTTTATCTTATACTGAAGAATTTTGGATATTAGTCTGAATTTTGTAGCCTTCCCCATTCTCCATTACAGGCCAAATTCAATTACTGTTTAATTTTTTTTTTCTTCCCCTAACAGGCTTGTATAGGAACTAGACATGAATGATTCTGATCCTATTTCTAAATTTAATATTAAGTTGATGTTAATATTTGTAGCTTCCAGTTACTGGATTTTCTGAATCTAGACACAAGCACTGCTTTTACAAGCACCATGGACACAATCTTACCCCTCCTTTTTTTTTTGTAAAAGAAACCTATGTGACCATCTCTTCAACTGAATACATCCTGGGGAGCTTCTGCTGGGATAGTGGTGGCAAGCAAAATCTGAATATCAGCTTAAGTCATTAAACTGAATTTGCTTTAAAAGATATGACCAGCATTAGGCAAACTGAGTGTTCAAAACTGACATTAGCCAAACTTATTCCCAAAAGTATTTATGGCAGAATTTTCAAGGTATATTCTCAAGGGTGTTTAAACCAACAGTACAGCAATAAGTTTTTTTAAAAAAGGCATCAAGAAATGTATTTAAGATAACTAAACGATATATGAATTCTTTTTTAGGGACCCGTTTTTCTGGAGAGCTGTGATAGGTGTACATAACCTTCAGAAATATGACAAACATACAACAAAAAGATATATTAGAAACATCACTATCCATCCAGAATTCAGGAAAGAAACATTTGAAAATGATATTGCGTTATTTAAACTTGATTCCTCTGTGCGCTACAATGACTATATTCAGCCTATCTGCTTACCTTCCGCACACCTTTACCTCTATATTGACAACGAAACAGACTGCTATATAAGCGGTTGGGGACGTTTAGCCGAAAAAGGTAAAAGTTCACTTGCTTGCCTGACCAAATTATGAGCTAACTGACTGATTGCAGGTTTCAGCCCTTCAGGCTCACTGATATAACTGAATCAGCTGGGGTTACAATCTCCTCTAAAACATCATTAAATTCTCCTGCAGCCAAAAATCTGCTCTCCATGATTTTTCCATTGAAAGCAGATTAGACTGACCTAAAGGCTTTGGGTCTGATTTTTGGCCTTTCTTCTAAAAATAAGATAGAAAAAAAAAAAAGGAAAATAAACTAGCCTGAGTTTAAGATCCTTGCCTGGCTTTTCAGATGCTGGCTGCCAGAAAGAATTTTTTTTTTTTTTTTAACTGAAAAAGAAAAATCCTGATGCAATGCCTTGTGAATATAGGGCTCCCAGTGCGTTTTGGGAATGGCTGCTCCCCCTCAAATTCTGTCTTTACTTGCATTGGTCACAGACTTGATGGGATGTAACGTGGTGGTGCGAATCCTTGGTGTGTGAAGAGTGACAGGGCAGCCAGGAAAAATCCAAGCTTGTTAGAGAAGTTTCCTCTGGCATCTGGGACACAACTGGTGACTAATGTTGTTATTATTAATGCTTCTTCAGAGCAAGAAGGGCAAAAACTACAGCAGTCCCAAATCTGCAAATACTTAACTGACTTGAGCTTAAAGCCACTAGAAGCAGGCACAGACTCTGCATGAAGTACATGTCTGAGCTTGTGCAGAAGTACTCTTAAATCACCAAAACAGGAAGGGAACACAGTAAGAATTGGTACACACAGCAGCACAATTATTTTATACTGTTTTCCTTTACAGGTAAAGCCTCAAATGTATTACAAGAAGCACAAGTGGATATCATTCCTTTTGATTCCTGTAACGCTTTTGATTCCTACGGAGGAATGATTAATAGGAACATGATTTGTGCTGGCTCTGAAGTTGGAGGCATCGATAGCTGTCAGGTAAGAGCAAACATTGTAAATAAAGAGGTAAGATAGTGATTCCAAAAAAAAATCGTATCTCAAAAACACACAAAAAAGTCGCTGACACTTGGCAGTAGGTAATAAGGAGTTAAAAGAGCACCCAAGTTACCATTTTTTATACAAAGCTTCTCACAAAGATTTCAGTAAAATACACATATAAACACACACATTTATATAAACATACCTGTACATCACTGTACATGTGCAGTTTACATGTTTTTATGCTTTTCAAAGAGAACAACATTGGAAAATGATTTAGCTCAGTAGTGAGATCGTAAATTAATTGCTGAATGATCAGTTATCTCTTCCTCATCAGAAAGCTCATTCTCAAAAGAGAGGAATTCTGAAGCCAAAAGTACTAGTTTACAAACTTGGGGCAGCAGTGATGGTATGGAAGCATTTAATGCAGAGGATATTTATAATTAAAAAATACAGTGTATTCATAAGTACTTAATCTGAAGGACTTCCTGGTTTCCTAGGCATGCCTCCTCTAAGAGAGTGTCTTGGCAAACATTCAAGATACCACGTTCCTTGGTACTTAAAATTACATACTGTGTGGACAGTTTAATTTGAATTCTGCTGTTACCTGATGACTAAGAAAGTTGAGGGAAACAAATCTCAGAATGAAAAGCTGCAAAGGAAAAAAAAAAAAGTCATTTTCAGTTAAAGACACTGAAGCAATGTCGTTGACAGGGTCAAGGTAGCATCACACAGGGAAATTTATTTTGATTTGTCCATTTTAGATAGAGACTTCTAGTTGATCAAGACAATGGGAGATACGTTAGCAACCTAACGCTACATCAATTCTTGGAAGGGAAAATGTTACTACTGTTTTACAGGGAGACAGCGGTGGCCCTTTAATGTGCCATTACCCTAGTACCGGCAAGTACTACCTAATAGGGATTACCAGTTTTGGAATTGGCTGTGGGCGGCCAAAATTTCCTGGGATCTACGTCCGGTTATCTTCATACAGAAGCTGGGTAACGTCAGAACTCATGTTGAGTAGCGAGGCCAGGACGGCCGGGAGCGCTGCGCTCGGCATCGTGCTGGCTGTGAGTGGCCTGGGGCTCGCGTCGGTTATCTAAAGCCACCAGCCCTTGCATCATCGGAGCAGAGGTTAGGGCTGTTTGCAAACACTTAAGTCATGCTTCGTAAGACCAAAGCTCAGTGTACAAGGACAAAAACCTATTTTTTAGAAAGCATGTTTTTATCCAGGCTCTGTATGTGTGTGTGTGTGTGTGTATATATATTTATATATATATAAAACTTTTAATAAAACAGTATTATTTTTGGAGTTACAATATTTCTTGTATATTTACAAACTAAGGCAGGCACAATAAAAATGTATTCCACCATTTGCTATGAATGTAAGGCTTTAAACTATGATAAAACACCATATTTTGGGGAGTACGAAATGGATGAATTCATTGTGTTTACAAAACATTAAAGTATACATCACCATGATAATCTGTTAGAGAACATTAGTTCCCTATTTGTTAAAAGAAAGCTGATGATTTACAATTTAACCTGATCATACATCATACATAGTATTCTAGCTTAAAGGAACTGCAATGTATAGCGTTGCTCTAAAATGTACAATCTTGGCATTCTTGCAACAAAATGTGTTTTCATCAAGATAAATACAGAATTTATTTTCTTGAAAAAAGCCACTCTGATGGGCATGCCTTGTCACGCAGTAAACATAATAATTTTAGGCTGACAAAAACAAGCTTATAAGCAAGAAATACAGATAATTAAAAACACCTACCAGTCCTTCCAAGTTCATCTCCTAAAAGTTTGGAATTTTATTATCTTAGTTTTCCATCTTCTGCCTTTGAGATCCATGCTAACAGTAGAGAAACTGATAACAGCCTTGACTCTAACGGGGAAATTTAATACATAGAAACATTCCCAACAGAAAATATTTTTTCTTTCCCTCTTCCTATACTTTTCCAGCTATCTCAAGCTTAGTTATTACCTAATACCAGGTGAGGCTGGTAATGGAAGGGGGATACTCCCTCTGCTGGATGAATTCTAACAGAGCACAGAGTGGTTTTAGTTCGCAGGGGCTCGGTTTAAACAAAACTAAGAAGAGAAAAAAAATCTACAGAAGACAAGGTGTATTCTCCACTAATTTGTTTTTGTGAGGACTAAATTCTACCCATAAATAACCTAGCATTCTGCTTGCCTGCTGTTAAGAACACACTGAGCAAAGGATCTCCAGATGTTCTTTCTTAGGCCAGTACAAAAGACCTGATTAAATAGACAACACAGACATGTGGCCTGGACTACTAAAACAGGATTTTAACCAAAAATCAGCTGACCAATAAATAAGGAACATCAGAATTATATTTTGGCGACTTTATTTACCAAGGTCAAAATTTTCAACCATCTGACTGTTTCAACAAATATTTACAGTTCATATAAAGCACATATTTTTGTTTGGAAATAGCCAGCAGAACAGCATTTGGTATCTCTCTCTCACTGTCAGGATGTATGTTTGCTCTCTTACCATGCAGATTTTGAAATAAATCCAAATAACTACTGCATGATAAGTGATTACTTAAAGAGCAAACCCAGGTTACTATTTTATATGCTCTTTCCCAAAACACTGTTATTTTAAGAGGATAAAAATTTACTAACATTATTTCTGGCAACATTACAATTGTTTCACTGGCTGAATACAGAAAAGAATTGGCCACCATTTTTCATACAGCCTTAACACTTGATAGCTTCTTTTAATTATTATTCCATATGATAAAAGAAAGTAAAGGAACAAGAGCACACAATGAGGATCAAAATACCATACAGAGGAGTTATCATATCAATTTATCATATTAGTTTCAGTACTGTATGTCAAACCCTGCTCTCCTGTACACACACCGAAGAGCGGACAGACACCTGACAGCAGACGGAGCAAAAAGGTCCAACTTGCCACGGTGCTGAGCACATCCCGAGCACTGTCCACTTTTCCTGAAATCCCCCCAAATGGATTTCAGGGACACCAACCACCTCTTTTGGAGCGCAGTTTCATAACGTGATGGCTTTCCCAGTCTGGTTTTGATGTGCAACCAGAGCACCTTTCTTGGACATGATCAAGAACATAAATGTCTATTTCAGTTTGGCCTAAAGGAAATGTATAGTGGATCATGTTTGGAACAATCATATATTCAACTTTAGAAACAAAAATATTTCTATAGCCTACTAACAATGTGATTGTGGAATGCAGCCTCATACCATTTGCAAAGAGCTCTGCTTGCTAAGAAACCCATTAATTCAAAAATGAGTAAAATAAAAAATACTGACTGATCATATGATGAACAATGCACATCTAGGGAGTGAGTACATCTTTTAATTTATTTTAGATCTGAGCTAGCACAACACACACACATAGCTCTAACACCTTTTAATAGCATAGTCCATAGTGCAATTCCCGCTGACATAACTGGAAGCAGGATTCAATCCTAACTATGGAAAATAGTGTATTTGTTATTCATGCAATAAGCACTGTATACACATTTTTCTATTTACACCCAAGAGTCCTGATCATGTCAAACATCATTTAATTTTCACCTGAAACGAATCAAAATGATACAAACTAGAATCTCTGATAGCAGTAAGATCAAAGGTGTAGATATTATTAACTGGGGGGAAAAAGAGCCCTGATTTTTTTTTCCTGCAACATTCTTTAGGATCCATTTTGTTGCAAGTTGCCTACAGACATACAAAATTAATTCAAATATCTCCTGCACCAAAGAGGATCTCATTTTGTACTTTGTACTACCCATAAAAATATATGATTGAAAATCTGGTTCACAAAATATTCCATTTGTTTACTAAAATGAAATATATAAACTGTCAAAATACGTATATAAACTCAATTTCAGAATTTGTAAAGATCACAATTTAGCTACAAAATATACCAACCATCTACCAGTTTTTAATAGAATATTTTCTTACAAAGATACCATTACTTTGCAAAATATTGCCTACCTTACAAAATTAGTCTGGAATTTTTGTACTACTTCCAGCATATAAACCCTATGTTAGAACCTCATGAAACCCTTTGGTATATGTCTTTTTTTTTTTTTTAATTTTACTGTTCCTCTCTTATTTGGTTTAAATGTTCCAAAGCACAGTAGAATCTCCAAACAGAATAAGCCATGCGTGTATAATTGTAGATATAATCAGCACACCATTTATTTTTCAGTTATAGACGTTTATCATGCCCAGCAACTAAGAACAAACTATTTGAAAATCATTCTCCAGAAGCTTTTCTTCACCAGTACTTGTTATTCCCTAACTTGTGCTTTAAAATCATTAGATGTGTTGAATTCTCTGAGGACAAGTCAACACCTTATTTCTCATGCTTCAGACATTTTCAGGACTAGGCCTCTCACTGCTTTCTGCAAAACCTTTCCAAATCCGATAAACACAGCAAACATTAAAAAGAAAAAAAAAAAAAAAACTTTTAAACTGTCAGCTGAGAAAGAATAAACATAATTTATACCTCTAGCAAAGTATTACCTTTTTTAAATCATCTTTACCTGTAATGAACAACTTACAGGTTAAAATAAAAATATTTACATACAAATAACTGAAAGAAAAAAGTAAGGATTGAAAAAACAGTAAGAAATCATATACTGGTTATAAATGTTACTAATTATGTCAGCTATGGCAAGGATTCCATTTCATCTGTATTTCGATTGTAACCAAATATCGCCTCCATTACAAAATTATTTGTAGCTCAAAGACATTCTAATCACCTGTCTGGTAAAATGTGAATGTCCATTTTTTGTAGATGCAATCTTGACTTTTAGCGACGTTTCCAGTTGTGCCAGCAGGAA